TCTCAGTCACTGTGTTTATCTAAAAATAAATATACTTAAATTCACCTCAAGCCCTGCCATGCGCCAACGGCTTAGTGGTAGAATCCCCGACTGACGCTAATTCAGTCGGGTTTCGATCCTAGCTAGAGGCAACCGGATGTTTAGCCTCACTGATGAGCTGTGATACAGCGAAACAGTCTGTCTGTGAATGGTAATATATATATATATATATATGTTATCACGTGCCTGTGTGCTTATTTTTGTGTGTCGTGTAATGGGACATGCTCTGCTTTGACGCCTCAAGGCGTTTTAGTAAGTGGTTTAGGTTCATTGTTGCCCTTTTGCGCAAGACTAGTTACTCTACCACAGCTAAAGAGCGAAGTGTACCATAAGATTTTACGCATAATTGAAAAGATAAAATAAATGGACTCATACGTTTTCAAAGAGCAGTAGAACGAAGTGAATATGACAGCTCCTGCTGGAATTTGAACTCGAACTGTGGATTCCATTTTCTGCGCCAATATCCAGGCCAACATCTACGCTTATACATGGTCATGAAAAAAGCGCACGAACCTAATTGAAGACGGATTCTTTCCAAAGATCTTTGTGAGCAGTATTCTTTGCGAGATCGTTGTACATATTTTTAAGTTCAGTGGGTTGAAATTCGCCATTTTGTCCATGCTTGCTGTTTTTTCTCCTTTTAATTAATTTTTAATTGATTTTCCTTTTCCACATTTCCCTCTCATGAATAGTATATTATACTTGTTATCATAATTTATTACCATAATTATTGTCATTATTATTATTTATTTCTGTTCAAATGTGCACGCTACACTAGAAATAATGTAACTTTGTTTTATTATTTTGGTTAATTTATGAGATATTTACCCACCGCTAGCTCCACTAATGTTTTGAAATTTGCAAACTGACTGTTCACTCTCGGTTTTCGACTAATCTGTGAAACAGCGGTGTAAGGGGAGAGAGAGAGCGAGAGAGAGAGAGAGAGAGAGAGAGAGAGAGAGAAAGGGGGGAGGGCAAGTGAAGAGGGCTGTAAATGTAAGTTGATAAGATTACAAACTTTGAAATCCCCCACCTCACACTTATCAGGTATAAGGATATTTATTCCATCCATATAAAAGAGTATAGGTATCACCTACTGACTCACACATCTACCCACCCCTCTTGGCAAGTGAAGTTAACCAAAAAAGTTCGAATCGTCTGTCCAACTACAACCTGCTCCAAGAAAAATTCACTCACTTTTGAGTGAAAATCGCCATTTTGTTTTTGCCTTTTTTTTTCTTTTAATTAATTAATTTTTCTTCCATTGCTACCAATGAATTCTCTGTTCCCGGTTACCGTCCTTTTTACCGAACAGATTCCAGCATTCACATGCAAGGCCTTGGTCTTTACATCCGGGATAATCTTCCAATGGCAAGGGAATTGTCACTCGAGTGCCCAACACTTTCATGTGCTTTCAGCTTTTATTATTACACTATTATTAGCTATCTCTTTTTCCTTTATTGCTCCCATTTTTTCAGGAATGAAATATACTAGGCATAATTTCTGACCGCATAGAAACAGCACTCTGTTCATCTTTGTCCTAGGTGATTTTAATGAGCATCGTGACACGTGGCTGAAATATTCTAATGTTACTGATGTTGCTGGTATTCAAGCTCAATCCCTTGTCCAAATCGTGGATTTCCCTACTCATTTCCCAAGCAAATCTGAGCAACAGGTCTGTTTACTTGATTTATTTCTTATCTCCACGACAAGCTCTTGCAGGGTTTTGCAACACTTTCCTCATAGCATCTCGGATCACTCTGCAGTATATATTCATATTTCTTTCCAAACATCTACGTGACAGGGAACTCCTATTCATAAGAACTCTTACCGTTACTAGCATGCAGATTGGGATTCTTTCCGTGACTTTCTTCGAGACGCCTTTTCGACTGACATTTTTAACCTTCTTATGGAGAACTGCCCTAATGAAGTTACCTCTAGTGTCAAAGCCGACATAAATATTTTCATTCCTTCTGGGAAATGTCAGGTCAAAACTCAATCTTCTCCATGGATCATACCAGCAGGGTCTGTTTGCTGACAGAATGAGGCACCGTATTGTATCTAACAACTTTGGCTCTGCTGATTACTGTCGGCTTTGCAATAATGCATTAAATAATACTAAGTTTTTTATTCCTTATTTCTTCAATCAATTTGAGCTGTTAACATCTGCTCTTAAAATTGAATGTTTCGCTTTAAATCCTACTTAAAGACTACTCTTGACATCAGGAGTGTCCTTGTCTAACTTCTCACTTAGAACTCATTCTCTGTTGAGTGATATGCATATAACCCCTTCCATGGTTTCTGCTATAATCCCTAATCTACATCCTCACAAAGCATGTGGACCTGATGATATCCCTGTAAATGTCCTGAAGAAGTTTGGTCCCGAACTGGCTCCTGTTCTCTCTAAACTGTATAATAAATATCTCACTACCTCTTGCTTTCCTGCCTGTTAGAAAACTCATTTGTTCCAGTTTTTAAGAACTCAGGTGAACCCTCCGACCCTTTCGACTATCGGCCTATTATTAGCTTTCTACCACTTTTTGGCTAACTACTCGAGGCCCTAATCAAAGCTGAATAATTTTCTCATCTCACATGACCGAGCGTTCTTTCAGATAAGCAATATGGCTTTTGTTTCTCCAGGTCAAGTGCTGATGTACTGAGGCTAATTGCGGAAATACTCTTTCAAGCTCTAGATAAGAATGGTGAAAAACGGGCTGTAGCTTTGGACATCCTGAAAGCTTTCGACGGGGTTTGGTATACAGGTCTTCTTCAGATGCTGAAAATTTACGGTGTCTCCGGCCAAATTTTCGAACTGGTCCAGTCTTTCTTATCAAACCTTGAAATGAAAGTTTTTCTGAACAGCTATTCTTCTAGATCTTTTTGTGCTGATGCAGGTGTTCCCGGGGCTGTATCCTTGGTCCTAAATTGGTTTAAATTTTCATTAACAACCTTCCCGAAGGTATCAACTCTCAACTTGGTATCTATGCTGCTGACACAATTACTCTTGTCTCGCTAGTAAGTCTTATCAGTACGATTCTGTTGTTAACTAGGGCAAAATATGACTTGTTCATTTAAACGCTTCCAAAACTAAAATGCTCTCTATTAATAATCTGAGAGACCTATTTCTGCGACTCATCATCGTGGTTGATGCTAACCTCAAGGAGAGTGACTCGTTGGTGCCTTCTCAGGCTAACGTTCTCGGCTGAAATGAAGTGGAAAGACGATATTGAATACATTACCAGGACAGCTGCTAAGAAAAGTTGGTTCACTGTGTCGTGCTAGACAAGTTTTTTCTTCAGAATCTATTAAAATATTACTGCCACATTTGGTCCGGGATTCCTACTATATATCTGGAGATCCATGATAAAATCCAAAGAAGAATTAGAAATATTATTGATCCTGATATGGCCTCTTGGCATCAGTCATTTTCCCATCACGTCAATTTACAGTGGAATTGGCTAGATGTCACTTTAAGTTTTAAGAGGTTCTTTTTTGCTCGTGAAAATTTTCTGGCTCCATGCTTTCCAGTTAACTTTAATCTTCAAAGATTTAAATGCAATGTCAATGGTTATCTGCTGTCCTCCTGATTATTCTTCCTTTGTTCCCGATCCCTAATAATATTTCTGTTTCTAACTTTTCCACATCCAGTAATACCTTGTATCTTAGTAGCTGTACTGCCTTGCTTGGGATGAACTCGCTTAAAAAACTCAAGGATGAATTATAAATAAATTTCGTTATCAACACCTTTATGGGTTATTTAATCTAAATAATCTGAACACAAATATATATTGTCAAGTAAATACATTTTAAACACAGTTGTATACTTCTAACTACAGATAAAATGTATTGTTGGTCATTTTACTATAAATATGTATTGTTGGACCTTGTTTTATATAAAAATGTATTGCAGATATTTTTACTATAACATATTTTTACTATAAAAAATATTTTTATGATTTCACTGTGTTATTTTTTTTGTTAGGGTCGGGGGTGAGTGTTCACTATTTGTAAACAGCTGGTACCATAAAAGGTGTTACCACCCCGGGTCAGGGTGGATATGAGAACAAGAACAATTAAGAGATGATTCCACGCTCCAGTCTAACGATGAGGCCTTCCTGTCGGATGTATCTTATCGTGGTTTACCCAGGACTAATAAATTCCGTCTTTGATTATCAAATTTATCCTAAAAACAAAATGAAGTACAATGACATTGTATTCAATTAAATAATATCAACATTATTTCTTGTTGATACTAATCAGGCGGAACTTCGATGACGTTTGAGTAAAATTCCGTAGGTTTTGACAAAACCCCCGAATCTGCTTTTCACTAGAGAACATTTTCCCCGTCAAAAGGTTTACATCGATCGAAAATGTAATAATCAGTTGTTGCAAGGTGAGACGAATATTGGAGGTTGGATAGAACAGAACAACGGAGTTCCAATTGTTTTTCTTTGTTATTCTTGCTGTCTGAGGCCTTATATTGTCAAGGAGGAAAACGCACATTTGACTTTTGACGATCGCAAGGCGCTTTTGCAGCAAATATTCATAGACACGTTGCCGCTACAGGACGCATATATGTGCTTTTAGTGTTTCCTTCAGTTTTAAGAACACTATACAAATAATAATCCGAGGATCCCAGTACACATACTTTCTTCCATGTAGCTGAGATTGTTGGGGAGGTTGGGCAGATTTATCCTCAATTGATTTACTGAGTCGTTATTTTACGGCTTATCAAACATTTTCAGGTTATTCAAAGCTAGAAAATATTTCTAGGTTTTAAGGAAAAACAATGGTTTGGTTATACAAGTCTTACTATTTAACCCAAAGTTGGGAGGGGAGAAATGGTGGAGTCATACCTTTCCCAATGATATTTGCGCGTAAGTGAATATAACGAACCCAACTGGAACTGGGACTCGGCTCTCTGATTAACAATTAACAATTACACCACCCGCACATCCAAGCTTACAGCACCTGGTATTCCCAAGCGTTCACGCATCTAGCCACTGACCAGGCTCGACGTTGCTTAAGATCTGTGATCGTACGGGAACCGGAGTTTCAGCGTGATATGGTCGTAAGCTATCTTTGTCAAGTCCCTGCCTATTACAATGAACATTTTCATATGGTAGTGTTCTCCAAATTTGTCCTTAACAGCCATGTATGATTAGTAGTTACGGTAATCCATTTGTCATTACAACTGGAAATTAGTTATGACTGAAAACTAACACAGACATTACTTATGACTGAAAACTAACACAGACATTACTTATGACGGAAACTAACACAGACATTACTTATGACTGAAAACTAACACAGACATTACTTATGACTGAAAAACAACACAGACATTACTTATGACTGAAAACAAACACAGACGTTACTTATGACTGAAAACTAACACAGACATTACTTATGACTGAAAACTAATGACAGACGTTACTTATGACTGAAAACTAACACAGACATTACTTATGACTGAAAACTAACACAGACGTTACTTATGACGGAAAACTAACACAGGCATTACTTATGACTGAAAACTAACACAGACATTACTTATGACTGAAAACTAACACAGACATTACTTATGGCTGAAAACTAACACAGACGTTACTTATGACTGAAAACTAACACAGACATTACTTATGACTGAAAACTAACACAGACGTTACTTATGACTGAAAACTAACACAGACATTACTTATGACGGAAAACTAACACAGACATTACTTATGACTGAAAACTAACACAGACGTTACTTATGACTGAAAACTAACACAGACATTACTTATGACTGAAAACTAACACAGACGTTACTTATGACTGAAAACTAACACAGACATTACTTATGACGGAAAACTAACACAGACATTACTTATGACTGAAAACTAACACAGACATTACTTATGACTGAAAACTAACACAGACATTACTTATGACTGAAACTATTACGTTTAAGTTGAAGTTGTTATTTTCTCGCTATCTCTTACATTTGACCTGAGAACATTCTCGGATCGTTACTAAATACTAATGCAAAAGTTTCAAAAGCTACCCTTACTTTTCAGGTTGATGTCTTGGTTTTTACAGCAATATTTAGAGCAAAGGATGGTCTTCGCAAACGCCTAGTGGATTAATTCACTGGAAGCTAAAACGGTTGAATACGACTGAGAAAACGGTTGAATACGACTGACAGTTTAGATATTTCCGAGCGGGTTTGGCGCCAGGCGTGGCATCCATATGAAGGTCTCTATCTGACGAGACTATTTAAGAATATGACTAGTTTTCAGGTTAATAAATTATTTCAAAATAGGAGAGACTGCAAGTTAGGAATAAAGAAAGAAAGAAAAAAACAGAGCTTTAAAGAGGCAACTCATAGAAAAGGAAAGTGTATGAGAAAGGAACCGAAGGATGGAATTTCAGAAAGAAAGAAAGAAAATATTGGGCTTATCGATTAAAAAGGATTAAAATGCTCTTTTCAAAATTATCATGTAGTAAATCTTATTTAACTCACGAGGATCGAACTTAGAACCGCACGAAGAGGAAAAAGTATGCCAATAAAGAAAAAATAAAATTAGAACTATATTTAAAGTAACTGACTGAACTAACCGAATTAAGGATAGAATCTACGAAAAGTCTCTTGAAAATATAGTCCGTTAATCAAAGAACAGTTGGTTAAAATTAAAATTTACAATTATATCCGAGAAGACACGTAATAACATTTGGAAAGATTTAAGATTACAAATTGAAGAAATTCTAAGCCAAAAGCATTAATCTAAGGCGATGAAGACAGAAAAAAAATTGTAAAGTATGTACAAGAGAAAGATAGGAAAGTAATTTAAATAAAGGAAAAACTGTATTACGGATGATACAATGGCTTTGCAATGAGATTTTAATGGATGTGCTTAAACGTCTCACCAGCTTTATATGTTAGATCCATATGCATTGTATTAATAATATAAAAGTGAAAAACTCTCCCTCTTCCTCTCCTCACATACATGTATAATAACCACACACACACACACACACACACACATGTATATGTGTGCGTGAATGTTCGTCTGTGCGTATTTATGTGAGTTTACGTGTATATCTATCTATCTATCTATCTATCTATCTATATATATATATACATATACTTTTTTTACTTAATCTTTTAATCTATCTATCTATTTTTATTTAATCTATCTATCTATCTATCTATCTATCTATCTATCTATCTATCTATCTATCTATCTATATATATATATATATATATATATATATATATATATATATATATATACATATACTTTTTTTTTATTTAATCTTTTAATCATTTAAACATTTTGTATACGTGTTAATATATTTTGGTATCTAGTATAATTTCAAAAAAACACATATATATATATATATATATATATATATATATATATATATATATATATATATATATATATATATATATATATATATATATATATATATATATATATATATATATATATATATATATATATATATATATATATATATATATATATACGTGTTATGAGCAAATATATATATATATATATATATAAATATATATATATATATACGTTGTGAGCAAATATATATATATACATATACCAAAACAAACACAAACACCCCCACACATATATATATATATATATATATATATATATATATATATATATATGTGTGTGTGTGTGTGTGTATATAACATTCTTTACATATATACATACTGTATACATACTGTATAGACAAATACTTTCATATATATGTCTACGCGTGTATGTATGTCTGGTCTGTGTACAATTTTCAATTGTGCACTCAGTTTCGATATTTTTAAAGAACAAGATATTTTTTGCACCCCTATATATATACATACATACATATATATATATATATATATATATATATATATATATATATATATATATATATATATATATATATATATATATATATATATATATATATATATATGTGTGTGTGTTTATATATATATATATATATATATATATATATATATATGCACTTACACATACGTATATATTTATACATAATCTAAACACATATATGTCAGCGCACACACATATATAAGCCAAGATACATATACGTAGATGTGTATGTATAGATTTAAATTTCTTCTTGTTTTAATGTATTTCCTTTAGCCACATATGAAACTGGATGAAAAAATATGATTAATAAATAAAAATAAGTCTATAAAAATTGCAATTTTTCTTTTAAAAGTATATTGATATAGAAATAGAATAATATTACTTATAATAATAATAATAATAAGAACAGCAATAATAATAATAATAATTGTCACGATGATTATGGGTAATTTTTCCATTCTCGATTTATTTAATAAGAAAAGTGCTGCTGCTGTACGATTGTCTTATATATATATATATATATATATATATATATATAAATTCTCTACTGTGTATGTGGGTGGGTGGGTGTATGAAATGATGGCGAACAACCCGGACTGTCAGCCCGTTGTTCTTCCAGAACCGATCACAATAGACACGGCTGGAGCACATGTGTTAACTCTCCGCATGGATTTTTTTCTACTCTCGTATGAATGAGAACACACACGCAAAAGTATATATATATGTATATATATATATATATATATATATATATATATATATATATATATATATATATGTATGTGTGTGTGTGTATATGTGAGATATATATATATATATATATATATATATATATATATAACGTTTGGGCATTGATATTAAAAAATGTACTCGTGTTAAATTCAATTTTGATTTGACGTAAGCTTTTCAAGTAGTTATGGCGAAATAGATTTCGATAGTGAATGTTAATAACAAAATATTTCTAAAAAATTATAACAAAATCATTTAAACATATAAATCCTGCAAACTTACAACATACATACATATATATATATATATATATATATATATATATATATATATATATATATATATATATATATAAATATGTATATGATAATTTCTCTTTTATTTTTGTATTTTAAATTGAAGAAGAAAAAACATTCCAACGAAATTGCTTGTAACAATCGTTTTCATTCTTGTTTTCATATGAAAAATGAAATAAAATAAAATTCGGAGTCAGAAAACACTTGATGGACTGTCGTTGCAAAACGTCTTCATAAATTTCGATAACTCTAATATGTGATATTAATCAGAATTAAATTTATGATGATATTCCATATTTCCTCAAATTACATGGACTTATACTAAGTTGAATTCTAAATAATGGACAATATCACAGAGTCTAAATAATAAGACGGATTCGAATCTGTCGATTTAATTGATAATTAAACATCAAAACATCATCATTAAACAATTCAACATTTTCGAATTAAGCGCTTTTTATTCATATAACCATTTTTGGCAAATAGGTAATTTGCCATTTTGTTTTCTTTTAATTGAATATGGATGTCATACATGGCAACAAACCTGTTCCGAAATAAACTGTCAGCTGTATACAACTGTTTCTTAGCATGAATGGTGAAAAAAATTCTGAGTGACTTGGCAAAGATCCTCCTGCTTTGAACATTTTAGACTGGTGCTACAGATTCACAAAAAAAAAAGAACTAACCAAATAGCAGAAACGACATCAATTGAGGAGTAACAAGAGCGGCAACAACTAAAATGGACGGCACGTGTAACTGAAAGAAAAAAATCCTCGGAAGGACCCCATCAATATAGGAAAGAGTGACAACAGTTACTGGACTTGAGACATTTTATAAATTTCCAACAAAAGTAGTACTAGCTGCTTGGGCAATGAAGTCCAAATATTTTTGTTGGGAAACGGCTAATATTGCCATATATATATATATATATATATATATATATATATATATATATATATATATATATATATATATATATATTCTTATGTCTATGGTTTTGCTTCTCATTGTATGAATGCTGAATGGCTTGGCACGGTATATTTACATACACCTTTATTGTTAAGTAGAAAAATATTCTTTGAATACTGCTTTTATTAATCAAGTCACTTATGAATATTGATTTTATTAGTCAATTTTGTGTTGGACAATCACCATCATGATCTGATGTTA